AGTGCATGCTGCGTAGGCGAGGCAGGGAGGGGTGACCAAGGCGGTGGTGCCACAGGAGAGTGTCGTGCGACAGCCGGCGACACTCACACTGTGTAGCTACCTGAGCAGACGCGTGCAACTGGGGAGACAAAGGGGCGGAGCGTGACGCAGTGGTGAGGGTGTACTGACTGGACCCCGGCGCACGAGCGAACGTGGCCAGGTGGCGACCAGTCTGGGAGCACGTGCAAATCGCCACACGCTGCCGGCCAGGGGTGAAGGTGTCAACCCCCGCATCCTGGAGGACACCGTTACTCACCAAGTTCGTAGAGAACCAGGGGAGGTGGAGACCAGACAGCTCACCAGACGGGACCGCCGGACACGGAAGCACAGTGGAAGACCGTGCAAGCACTGGGCCCCCAGAGGGGTCAGCCAGTGAGACAGGAACAGGTGCAGGGAGGGGAGTGACTGTGGTACTGTCGCGAAAGAAACAGCGGGAAGCACCAGAGTCAAGTGTAAAGGTGTGCAAGGCCTGTGCAGGCGCAGTACCAAGGGGAGCAGACTCACAAGCACCTAGTGCTGCAGGGGCTATACCAGGGGTTATACCAGGATCCGGCGGCACACACAAGTAGCAGTCACCCTCAGCACTAACAGACAAGGCATACATAGCAACAAGAATTGCCTCATAGTCAAGATCAAAGATAGGTACATCACGCCTAAGTAAGTCTGCCCAGTTGGGGAACTCAGTAGCATCACGAAACTTGGCGCGCCAGGCGTCGCTAAGCCGAGCGAAGCAGCGCTGTTCAGTGTGAAAACCTGTGCACTGGCGACCAGCGCGGGGACCTGTGCGGATGATATAGGGGCAACGACCAAGACCCCCAGAAGCCCCACGCCCGACATACCAGTCAAGAAGCTGCTGGGAAGTGGGGGTCTGGCGCTGACGTTGATGCTGCTGCTGCTGCTGCGGCTGCTGCTGCTGCTGCGGCTGCTGCTGCTGCGGCTGCTGCTGGCCCTGACCACCACTGCCACCACCGCTCCCTCCTCCCCCACCGCCGCTGCTGCCCCCTCCACCGCTCCCAGTGCCTCCGCCGCCCCCACCACCACCTCCACCGCCTCCACCCCCACGACCACCCCCACCACCTCCACCTCCCCCGCTGCCTGCACCACTGCCACCTCCACTGCCACCCCCACCGCCCCTGCCACCTCTGCCGCCCCTGCCGCTGCGACGCTTCCCACTAGGAGCGGAAGCAGCTCCGACCTCCTCAGCACCAAGGTAGTCGTGAGCAGCAGCTGCGGAGGTGTAGGAGGGGGTGAGAGGGGAGGGGGAGCACCCCTCAAAGAGGGGAGAGCGAGGAGTGCCACGAGCAGCACCTACAGCGAGGATGTTCTTCTCTGCTGCGAGGAGGTGCTTCTCGAAGTCGTCGACAGTGAGAGTGGTGGGGTCTAGCGCTAGGAAGTGGTCCCTGACAGAGCTAAGAGTGTCAGGGAGGCGGGTGACGAGGAAATAGAGAGTGAAGTACATCGGGGGGGGGGGTTTGCGGCGCAGAACTCGGCTGAAAGGGCGGCACGAAAGCGAGTGTCAGTAGCGCGCATGTGAGAAATGAGGTCCTCAGCAGTGGTGAACGAGGAAAGGTCGGGGAACAGGTAGGGTAGCATGAGCCGACCTATGGGTGCAGTGGCCGGGGAGGAGTAGCGCGCAACTACAGCGTCGTACAGTGTCTTAACAGTTTTGTGCTGGCTGAAATGAGCACGCTCAGGAATCGGCAGATGGTTCCTAATAGCTAGGCGTGCTGCAGCATCGCGAGTCTGCCACTGTGAACGTTCGAGAGCAGGAGCATCGGCAGCAGGGGCAATGGCAGTGCCAGACACGTAATCGAACAGTGAGACACCCTCTTTGGCATTAGTCAGAAGGAACAGTTGCAGGTCGTCGAGCCACACAGCGAACTCTATGGGGCGACCGTCAGGCTCGAACGCGAGAACATTAGGCGTCGTCATAACGGCAGCTTTCAAAGGCAGCAGGAAGCAGGCAGCAGACAGGGGGCAGTAGACAGTAGGCCGCAGGCAAAGACAGAGACAGCAGGCAGTAGACAGGAGGCAGCAGGCAGTAGACCGCAGGCTAAGACAGAGGCAGTAGGCAGCAGACAACACAGGCAACGTGCTGGGCAGTAGCTTGCCGCACTCGAGCTCCTAAGGTGGCGCTCTAGACAGTAGCAGGCCGTGCAATTCTAAGGCAGCGGGCTCGGCAGCTGCGAGCCGCACAGGCACGCACACGAGCAGGGCACGCGCGGCTGCTGGCTGCGTGCGGTTGAGGGCTGCGCGCGGCTGCTGGCTGCGCGCGGCGACGTGCTGTGCGCGGGTCCTGGCTGCGCGTGGCGACGGGCTGCGCGTGGCGACTGGCAGCGCGCGCGGCTGCGTGCTGCGTGCGGCGACGGGCTGCGCGGGCGCGGCCTAAGCAGGCTGCGCGCGGGCGGCGTAAGGGGCGCACGGGCGGGGCCGAAACGGGCTGCGCGGGCGGGGTCTAAACGAGTTGCGCGGGCCGCTAAAGAGGCGCGCGCGGGAAAAAAAAAAAAAAAAAAAAAAAAAAAAAAAAAAAAAAAAAAAAAAAAAAAAAAAAAAAAGAGGGCCACGCGCGTGCAGCTGAGGCGCGCGCGGGCACTAGGCAAGGCAGGTACGTTTTAGTGAGGTGAAATAGTGAACGGTGGGCACTAATCCTAGGTCCTAAAGACCTATGCTCTAGATGCCATATTAGAATTTTAGGCAAAGGTGGTGTTGAACTATCGAGAGTTTTGGTACAAAAGGAAAACCTAAGGGGTTGTACCCCACAGTGAGTACCCCACTAAAGCCTACCTAAACTATAACATATAAACATATGTTTGACACTGATATCTCACTGTAACTGTGTAGGCCACACTGATGCACTCGGGTATTTTTTTCCCTTAGCGGGTTTGCTATTTGTATCACCCACTTTCTTAGTTCACACATTCCCAGGGCTTTCGCTATCAGACATTTTTGTCTGTTTGTCTGAGTTTTCAAAAGGATTTTTTTCCTGTTAATCTGATTTTCCAGAAATGGATTTTTATTTCATCTGATTGATAAGATTTTTTTTTTTTTTTTTTTTTCATCTGATTCATCAGAAATGTAATACCGTAGTCTGCTCGAGTGATCTAACCTAAAAGAATGGGCATCAAACGTGTATGGCCAGTCAAAGTGATGCATTGATCAGTTTGGTCGGTATGCGCATACGTAGGGAGCGTACCAGGCAGAGTTGAAACGCTCATATCGTGCAAAATGTGTGGAACAAAATGGAAATACACGGAGAGGAAGTAGAAAAAGGTATGATCCAGTGAACTAATCTAAAAGAATAAGCATCCAATACGGTACGTATGGTCAGTCAAAGTGATGCGTTGATCAGTTTGGTTGGTAAGCGCTTAGTATGGAGCATACCATGCGTACCTGTCCCTGTCCCTGTCCCTGTCCATGTCCCTGTCCGTGTCCGTGTCCGTGTCCGTGTCCGTGTCCCTGTCCCTGTCCCTGTCCCTGTCCCTAAACCTCATCCTTCCTTCTACCGACTGGACCACTCCATGCCATAGAATGGGTACATATTCTAAAAAGTTCTTTTTTGCTGACAACACTGATCTTCCAGGGTTTTTTTTTCTGAAGGGACTCAAAACTTCTGCAAACAATGACGGGGGTGGTTTAGGGTGGTTGTTCCGCATCCTGGCGAACAGAATGGTCGTTGTGCTCGAAATGTTTGGCGGGACTCCCCTTATCATTACACTTTTCGCTTTCTCCAGAGCCAGCCATTTGGTCGGATTTTGGGCTTGGTCGTTGCAATGTTCCACGCCCTTAGCCTTTTTTCTGAGGGCGACCTTGATGCATCAGGGTACCTAAAAGCGAATCTGAGGGGTATACCACGTTGTGAGTGTCAACTGTACACTAATGAATAGATACCGCAGTGATAGGCGGGATAACCCATAGCCCCTACTGGGCGATTCATGTGTTGCAACAAGTGGTCATAAAGCTTGGCGCATCACGCATCGTGGCCGTGTAACACAAGTGAGACACGGAATGGAATTTCTGCCACTTGGGCCGGCAGCCTCGCCGTGTGTACCTGCACTCATGCCTGGCATGCATGCACTCATGCCTGGCATGCCTGCACTCATGCCTGCACTCATGCCTGCACCTATCATCATCTGCCTGCACTCATGCCTGCAGCCGATTTTTTAGGCGCCTCAAAAATTTTTGAGGCGCCTCAAAAACCGTCTCAGTTCACGCGGTTTTTTTATGGGGAATGTTTACATTGCATGGAGGTGTGCACGTAACTTGCAAAAGTTACTCGTGCGAGCGAAAGTTCCAAGGCTTATCGATAACCCTGACGAAGACACCACGGAAGGCTGACACTTGTAACCTTGGGTTTTTGCCCAGTGCTGTGTTGGCGAATGCCCATTGTTAGGCAATCTGGGTAGATGGGAACCTTGAAATCTGTCCGCGGTGTAGGTTGATTACTTAGCCTATGCCTAGCTGTTGGATCTCTTTGTGTTCAGAAGCACTGATGAAGGCTTGACGGGTTCTCCCGCCTTGCCGAAACATGTTTGCGACCTGTTCTGATTGAGTGAATTCGGTTTTTGCGATCAGTTTTCTTTCAACTAGGGAATTTTTTACTCTCTTTCTTACTTGCTAAACGTTTCACTAGCACTGCAGCCCTTCCACCATGAGCGACAATCATCTGCCTGCACTCATGCCTGCAGCCATCATCATCTGCTTGCACTCATGCCTGCAGCCATCATCATCTGCTTGCACTCATCTTCAACTCCACTCCAGCCTCCTCCTCCCCTCCACCACCTTCCTCCCCAACCCCATCCCCCCCTTCCATGTCGTTGATCCTCCCCACCCCATCCCCTGCTTCTGCTCCCGGCACATGCTTAGAACCGCCACCCCACCCACCCATCCATCCACCCATCCATCTTCTCACTCGCCCTCCCACACCTGCCCACCCGCCCTTCTTCCGTCCCTCTCCCTGCCCCTCACTGCCCTCCCTGCTGCTGCTCCCTGCTGCCGATCCCTCTCCCTGTTCCTCCTCCACCCCATACCCCTCTCTCTCGCCCCCTTCCCTGCTCCCCCCTCCCCTGCCCTCTGCTTCCCCTTCTCTTGTCCCTCCCACTGCTGCAGGTGGAGTGGGGACTGAGGAACCCGAGGAGGAATCAGAAGAGGAGGAATCAGAAGCGGAGGACGAGGAGGAGGCAAAAGTGGACCCGGTGGCCAATCCGGTGAGGACACGTGGCAGCCACACGTCAGCAGCCAGGGCCTCCTCTAGCTGCTCCACTCGCTCCCTCAGCCACCTCGCCTCTTCCTCCAGCTGCCTGTCCCTCTCGTGCAGCGCCTGCCACGTGAAAGAACGAGAGAGGGCAAGGGAAAGGGTGAGAGGCATGAAGAAGAGAGCAACAGTCGTTCCTGGCTGCTCCTCTCGCTCCCTCAGCCGCCTCGCCTCCTCCTCCAGCTGCCTGTCCCTCTCATGCAGCGCCTGCCGTGCGGGTGCGAGCCCACGCCAGTGTGTGTGGGTGCCAGTGGGGGTGCACGTGAGAGAAAGAGAGAGGGCAAGGGAGAGGGTGAGAGGCGCAGAGCACCATGAAGAGGCTGAGGATGGAAGCAGAGAGCAACAGCCGGTCCATCAGAGTCACAGCAGCTCAACCTGCTGCCATCAACCAGCAAAACAACCACACCTCTCCCTCCCTCCCTACCGCTCATCCCTCGCCTCTCCCCTACTCCTCTTCACCTCTCTCCCCCCCCCCCTCCCCTCTCTCTTGTCTCCCCTCTCGATCCTGCCTCCCCTCTCACTCCCTTTCGCCCCTGCTTGATCCCCCCTCTTCCTGCCTCACCTCACGCTCCTGCTTCAGCTTGGCCTCCTTGCGAGCATTCGACCGGGCGCTCCTAGCCGCCTCAATGAACACCACGCCCCCCGCCACCTGCACACGTACACGTGCCAGCATGTGCATATCCGAGTGCATGAATGAACGTGCAGGGGGAGAAGGCACATGTGCATGCAGAGGAATAAGGCGCTCCTAGCCGCCTCGATCAACACCACCCCCCCCGCCACCTGTGCCCACCTGTGCACGTGCGAGCGTGCATGTGATCATGTCAGCATGCCAGCATATCACCCTTTCCCAGCCACTGACAGCCACTGACAGCAAAAACGAACCGCTCAACCCACCCACTCACTGCACCCCGGCCCCGTAAACCAGCCCACCCACAGCCCCCTCCCCTTGCCTTCCCCTCCATCCCCCTCTCCACGCTCACAACGATCACAAGATGAGTCCCTTCACCGCCTTGCTGGCCGTGCTGACAGCCTTCTCCTCGTTCAACCCACTCACACGCCTATTACCCCTTCTCCCCCCCTTTTCCATCCACCCACAGCCATCCCCCCCCCCCCCCCCCACCAACCCACTCACAGCAAAGACGATCAGTTCCCCCACCACCTCGCTAGCGGTGCTAACGGCCTTCTCCTCGTTCAGCCGCTTGATGTGCCCCAAGGGGGCCTGCCCGTACAGCCGCCGCTGCAGCCGCACCGTGAACCGGTGGTAGCCCTAGGGAGGGGGTGGGGGGGAGGGGAAGGCGGAGGAAAAAGGGGAAGGGTGCGGGCAGAGGGGGTAGGGATGGTTAGGAAGGAGGAGCGGTGAGTTCGGATCCTCCAGCCACCTCTGCCCGTACAGCCGCCGCTGCAGCCGCACCGTGAACCGGTGGTAGCCCTGGGGGGCATTGGTGGGGGGGGAGAGAGGGGGAATGGGGGGAAGAGGGGGAATGGGGGGGAGGGGAGAAGGGGGAGGGGATGGCTGGAGGAGTGGCTATAGGAGGGAAGGAGGGAAGCAAAAGGCGGTGTTGGGAACGAGAGTGCGAGGCGCGCGCAATGCGGGTGGCGCCCTTGCGTGCACCCAATGTGCGCGCACCAATGTGCGTGCACCAATGTGCGTGCACCCATTGTGCGCGCAACTGCGCCAGTGGGCGATGGAACGGGATGGCGTGGAACTTGGGGTAGCAGTGCGCGCGGAACCACCCTATGTGCGGAACCGCGCTCTCTATGCGCGGAGGCTGTGCGCGCACCCTATGCGTCCCCCCTGCAGGCGGAGCCCCTGCGCGCGGAGCCCCTGCGCGCGCACGCACCTGCGCCCAGTTGGCGATGGAGGCGCGGAACTTGGGGTGGCTAGCGGCGCGGCGCTTGATGGCCTTGGCGAGCGGCTTGCTGAGCGTCTTCAGCACCAGATCCCCCAGCTTGCCCAGGGGTAGCGCCATGCGCGCGCGGACTCGGAATCGGAATTGATATAATAAATAGAACAAATATAATGAGCTAGTAATGTGGAAGGATGGATATCAGGGGAATGTGAGATCCAATGGAGTGTATTACGAAGGGTCGTCGGGCTCTGCGGGAGGGTCGGGGGGCCACCGGGGCGCGCGTCAGCAAAGCGCTAGGGTGACAGATGGTGGCGTCAGCGGCCTACTAGATACTAGATCAGTCCTCAGCGGCCTACTGGATACTATATATTAGGTCATCTTGGCGTAGTGGGCGGAGCCGCGGAGTGACGTGGACTAGGAACCGCATCAGCGACCGCAGAAGTGGATCGCGTGGCTTGGCGCGCTGCAGGGCGACTTTCCAGTCGACTCAGACGTCAGCTTGGCGCGCAGCAGGGCCGTAGACGGCGAATGGATGGACGAATGGGATGGGCCATTCTCCTGGGTTTGCCTCTCCTTCCTCTAGAATCGGTCGCAGTATCGCGTTCTGGAGGTCTTGGACTGGGTTTGCGCTCAAACTCAGGGGTCCAGTGCGGTGTATTGTGGTACCACTATCACCCACAGCGTCTCGAGATCTCCGGATCGCACGCCGAGAAAGAATATTTTTGCTAGTCGGTCAGTCGGACGCACGCCGAGATGCAGGTATTTCACTGGTGTCAGTAGTCAGAAGTCAGTTCTAGCTTCTAGCTGTACAGAAGAGCGATAAGCATAAGGTACGAAATATCTACAGGCATTGCGACTGGCAGGGCAGCAAGCGTACACAGTAGTAGATCCGCAAGTCACGGTGGTATGTCCACTGTGTGAAGACTTGCGGAGACTTGCGAGCGAGAGATGAGTGATGGCATGGCATGGATGGGATGTGAGCGCAGGGAGTGGTGGATGAAGCGAAGGCTGGGATTGGCGGGAACCCTGACACCAAGAAGGTACACGTCTATGAGACACTTTTGTACCGCTTCATTTACAATCAGGTATATGTACAAAGGGTACATTCACAAATTTCTAGAGGCATCAGAAGCAAACATCTACAGGAAGGAAACTAATGGCGCTCAACCATCCGGGCCCAGGTAGGCAAAGTCAGCCACCGAGGGCAGGGTGGCTTCGGATGCCAACAAATCAGGAGCGCCAGTAAGACGAATCTGGGAACGCCGACACACCGTTCGAGCTTGCTCGCGCTGAAGAACAAAGGAGACGCGCTTGAAGAAATTGGTTTCCAGAAGTTGGGGCACCAGGTCCGTCGTACCACTCAAGTCACGGATACGGGCCGCACCACGCCGGCTGCAGTCTTGAAGGAACTGAATGAACGTCTTTCCGAAGCAACCGAAAGTCTCAATAGCCAGGGGGAAGAACTTGACATCATGACGATCGCGTAACGAGACGGCATAAAGCGAGTTCTTTTCCAACTCCGGAGCGCCAGCAGCAGAACCAATGACAGTAGCAGCATTATCTTAGAGTATAGGCATGAGTGAAAATTGTCTGTCGAGAGGATGGTACAAAGGAGAAACCTAAGGGGTTGTACCCCACAGTGAGTACCCCACTAAGCCTACCCAAACTATAATATATATATACATATATGTTTGACACACCCCCGTAGGCAAAGTGGGGGAGAACAAAGGGTCACAAGACCAGTCAGGAAATGCAAAGCAAGCTCAGGGTGGATCACAACGTCACCACGCAGTCTGAGGACAAGCAAAAGGCCACAAGGCCTGTTCACATGCAGAGATATATATCATGTAACAACAACAGCACAGTGATCTCTACCTACCAGAGCAAGCATGCAGGTATACATATAGATCACAGTACAAACAAAGCCTACAGCAAGTGAGGAAGTGTGGGTACAAGGCCTAACAAAGTACAGAAACGCTGATGATCACAAGGCGGAAGTGCCTTGGTGAATATATCAGCAGTGTTGGCCCGAGTGGCCACGTGAGCAAGACGAAGCTGGCCACGCTGCTGCAACTCTCGAGCAAGGAAGTAACGGAGAGCGATGTGCTTCGTTCTGTGGTCCAGTCTGTGCTCCTGACACAAGGCAATGGCGGCCTTGTTGTCGACGTACACCACTGGAGGAGAACGAGGCTGCTCTCCCAAGTCGGTCAGCAGGTAGGTGAGCCAGCGTAGCTCCTGTGCAGCCATGGCTGTGGCGTAGATCTCAGCCTCACAACTGGAGCCAAGAACTGAAGACGAGCGTGTAGAACGCCAGGAAACTGAACCAGAGCCAAGGCTGAAGGTGTAACCCTGTGACGACCGCTGCGTAGCCTGGTCGTCAACCCAAGAAGCGTCCGAGTGACCAGTGAGGACAACGTCACCCCGTCCTCCAAGCACGAGCCCCATGCCCGATGTACTGCACAAGTAGCGTAGTACCCTCTTAGCAGCATCCATGTGCACCTTTCGGTGCCGACCAAGAGCCACGTAGCGAGCCAGAAGGCCAAGAGGGTACGCAAGGTCAGGACGAGTGCAGGTCATCAGGTACATGAGGCAGCCCACTAGCTCTGGGTAAGGACCACTCGGCTCTACGGACTCGTCCGAAGGTGGAGCTGAGAGCGAGTGACCTGTAGCCAGAGGAGTGGCCTGTGCTGAGGACCAGGTGAAGCCGAAGCGCTGAAGGACCTGCTGCACCATGTGTGACTGAGTCAGTGTGATGGTGCGGCGTGCTCTGTCCCGGGTGATCTGCAAGCCAAGGTAGCTGCGCAGCTCACCCAGGTCTGTCCACGTGTGTCTCTTCTGCAGCTCTGACTTCACCAGGGCGAGAGCCTCAGTGTCAGCAGTGGCAAAGACCAAGTCGTCGACGTACACGAGGATGTAGAACGGCGGCAGCGAAGTGTCGGTGCGCAGAAACAGCGACGGGTCAGCAGTCGACGGAGCAAACCCAAGAGCCGCAAGAGTCGTCCTCAGTGTGTCGTGCCACTCACGTGGCGCCTGACGGAGACCGTAGACTGGCCGCCGAAGGCTCCACTAGGTACCAGGAGGGAACGACCCAGTGAAGCCAGGTGGGCGGCGCAGCCAGATCTCCTCGTGCAGACTGCCCTGTAAGAAGGCTGTGCTGAAGTCAAGAGAGTGAAGCTTGTAGTCACGTTGAGCGGCAACGTGCAGCAGCACCCGAAGAGCGGTCATCTTCGGGGTGGGGGAGAAGGTCTGGAAGAAGTCAACTCCCTCACGCTGACTGAAGCCTCGAGCAACGTAACGAGCCTTGAAGACAGGCGGAGAACCCGGCGGCCGCTTCACCCTGAAAATCCACATGCCACTGACGATGTTCGCCCCAAGTGGGGGAACCTCGTCGACGTAGGTGCCTGTGGACTTCCAGGAAGCCATCTCTGCGTCCATGGCTGTCTGCCACTGAGAGGAGTAGGGACCCGCGATCGCCTCAGCGTACGATCGCGGAGTCGGGATGTCTGGTGCATCCGGGTCTCCCTCAGGGGCAAGCAGCATGGCCACGAGATGAGGCGCAGCGGCTGCAAGGCACTCAAGGTCCTCCTGCCTGTCCTCAAGGACGTCCGTGCCAAGAGCACACTCACCCCCGACGGACGGAGGACAGACAGACTCAGACTCAGCAACAAGACTAGCGGCGTAGTCTAGACGACAGGCAGCAGCAAAGTCAACAAGCTGAGCGACTAAGGCAGACGCAGTAGCAGACTCAAAAGACGGGTCAGTGACAACAGTAGCAAGCAGACGCGTGACACTAGAGTGCTCAGCACGAAACTGGTCAGACGCAGGGTCAGCGACGACAGGCAGAGAGGACGCAGGCGGAGACGGCAGAGGAACACGCGACAGAGGAGAGGGAGGACGACGGACTACAAGGTGAGGGCCGGGGACAGCCGGCTGACGCTGACGAGGAACACGACTACCGGAACGACCAGAATGGACAGGTGAGACAGGACGCGACGCAGGCTCACGTCGCTCAGCAAAGCCCCCTGTCTGCTCAGTGTACGGAGAAGGAGCAGGCAGCAGTGAACCAGGCTGTAACGGAAAACTAGTAGACGAAGGGAGACTAAGAACCTGGCGAAGCGCAGAGTCGGGCGGTGGCTGAGACGACGGAGACGGCGGAGCGAAGAACATGCGCGGCTGTGCAGGGCGACCAGCACCAGTAGCTCCAGCACCCCCAGCAGCTCCAGCACCTCCAGCCGCTCCAGCGCCTCCAGCAGCTCCAGCACCCTCAGCAGTTCCAGTACCCTCAGCAGCTCCAGCACCTCCAGCAGCCCCAGTACCCTCAGCAGCTCCAGTACCCTTAGTAGCTCCAGCACCTCCAGCAGCGCCAGTACAGTCAGACACAACACCGCCAGCCCCAGCAGCTCCAGTACCCCGAGTACGAGCACCTTCGGGACCAGCTACACTAGCACCTCCTGCAGGCAAAGGACCAGCACCACCCCCTGCCCCACTGACGCCAGCAGAAGAACCCCTAGCAGTAGAGTCCTGAGGTGCAGAAGCGCGACGTAGACAGCGACCGTACCAGTCGTGCAGCTGCTGGGAGGTGAGAGGCACACGCTGACGAAGACGGCTACTCCAAGGAGACCGCGTAACAGCAGTCTCAGAACCCTCAGGCGACTCACCCCCAGACTCAGCACCCCCAGGCTCCGCACACGCAGGCACAGCACCCCCAGACGCAGTACCCCTAGACGCAGGACCTCCAGACGCAGCACCCCCAGACACAGGACCTCCAGGCACCTCACGCGCAGGCTCAGCACCTCCAGGCTCCGTACCCGCAGGCCCCTCACGCTCAGCGCCCCCAGACTCAGCACCCCCACGCTGCGCACCCCCAAGCTCCGCACCCCCAGGGACAGCACCACCGCGAGCAGGACCGGAGTCACCAGTGACCTCAACAGGCACAGGGACGGGAGGGTCTACCTGAGAAACACCTGAAGGAGCAGGACCTGGCGCGGGGAGGGGGTATACCTGGAGAGGACCTGGGGCGAGAAAGATCAGCGGGAGAGGGCAAGGAGTAGTGCGGTAGGGGAAGAGGTGGTAAAAGGGGACCGACTCGTCAAAGGTGACGTCCTGGGACGCAAAGACAC